CCATCTTCTTGGAATATTGGAGAAAAAAAAAAGATGATTTATTATTCTGTGTAAAACATAAGCCTGATTCTTATTTGAATGAGGCTCTGCTGCAAAGCAGGTTTATATTGTCTACTGTAAATGAAGTTCATTCCCACAGAGCCACTCTAGCTTGAGAATGCATGAACACTACACCCAATGATGTGTTTCCTAAATCACTAGCACATAGGATTTCATATAATAAACCTCCACAGTATAAGATAAGTAGAGCTGCATGGGAAAGTTTTCAGTGATAAACAAGAGTAATACTGAGGTCACCTGTGTTCCCTTCTGTGAAGATCAATACGCTTTGGGAACATACCTTTACCTTCAACATGTTTCAGTATCAAAATAAAAGACAATTTCAACAGACTGAAGTTTAGGAACTGTTGCTGTGATTTCCTAATGTTGGTTTTCCAGAATCAAAATAGCATACAAAAATAAATTGCACACACTCGTATTTTTCTGTTTGCAGAATTAAAATGTATGCTTCAGCCAGGAGACAATGTGATATGTGCCTCACAGAGTCATCATATTTAGATAACAGCTTTTCAGGAATGCAGCTGGGGCAGCGCTGGAATCTGCTCAGGAACGTTGTTACAAGCTGTGATTTGACTTCAGTATCTCCTTGTTATTTCTTAGCATTAAGTCCAACTGGTGAACTTTTTAGAATAACTGAAAGTAGTAATACAGATTACTATATAGGATTATACTTGCAATGTGTGAAGATGTATTTGATGACAGCTTTGGTATCCTTGGCAAGTGAATGCAAACTTCCCTGTTTTTGGCCTGGAACAGCTTTCGTGATTCAGGAATTGATTAACAGAACTGAGATATCAGAACTGGGACTACCCTGGTGTGTAAAGCACACACCATAACTCAAACATCATAACTGTGCTTCAATTTAAAGTATTTCAGTATTTTAAAGTACAAACAAACACATTATCTTCATGCACAAGGCATAGACATGAAGTAAGTATAATTGCACCCTCAATTTTGTAAAATATAAAATCTACCTTATTTGTGGAAGATGAAACAGTCTCTGGGACTGACCTGATGCTGCAGAGCAGTGGAAGTGATCTGAGGAGCACCCAATCTGATAGGGACCCATTTTGATCTGTTTTCCAACTGGTAAATGAGTGTTATTATAATATATATAAAACTCCTGTTCAAATGGAAAACTCTGCAAAATATGAACCTGCGAAAGCATTTGGGAAGGTTATTCTAAGATCTTCTAGTGCAAACTTAATTTATCTGTCTTGGAAATAATGAAATAAAACCCTAGCAGCAAAATGAAAAATTACTGCCACATGAGCAGCAGTTTATATTAAAACCTTCACAAATGTAAAAATAATTCCACAAATCTAGCAATAATGATGCATAGTGTTGCCACTTAGTGGAGCTCTGCTTTCCATCCTTAGGTTGGAAAAGTGAAAATTAGTAACACTTTTTTTGTTGTAGCTAGTAAAAACTTTCAGTTTGTACAGACGTAGCATAGGACTGTTTTTCAGTGGTGTTGGGTATTCAGAGCTGTTGTGCAAGTGCCTTTAAATGATGACAAAAAGAAGCTGATGAATGCAGGAGTGAAACAATTCAGGTGATGAACTCTTCCTGCTGGCTCAGGTGTAAAACAATCACATAGAGAAATAAGGTGTTCATCAGTGCAAAATAAATGACCTCATATGGAGCTCAGGCAGCCTGCAGAAATTCCAGCCACAGAAGATCATATTTCTCTGTGACTACATAGGTTGAAAGGATGAAATTAGCACCTGAAAAACAACCTTAAGCAACTTCTGCATGGTAAGTTATGGGTACATAGATTCCATGTTTCTGTTATAAATGGATCATGATGATGACACTCATTTAGGATAATCGGGTACAAGTTGCCTAAACACCTTCATATTGGAAAGGGAAAGGCTCTGTGAAGACCAAGCTGAAGTCAGATAATACAGTTAAGCAAAACTTACTCCATGTTCCTATGTAACACATCTCTGGAGAAGAAATGAGATCTCTCCTTCATTCCAGTGCACACAGACTTCAGTGGAAAAGAGCATTCTTTTAAACAGAGCATTGGTAGCGGTGTCTTCCACCTTTCCTCCTGCTCGTCAGCCTGCAGGCCAAACACTGCCATGAGAATGAACTCCTAGCATGCTGTTGGCAGAAAAGAAAAAATATATTGAAATATTAAACAGTTATCTGTATACACTGAAACCAATGTTCTGCCATCCGTGTACAACTGATCATACAACAGGTAATGCTGCAGCGATTGAAGCCAAACACCCAAACAAAAAGAATTTATATTTTTTTCATACATGAGGTAACACATGAGAGTAACCAGCTAGATACATATGTTTGCTTATTTCCAAATAAATCAAACACTATCCACACACACACACGTTTCTCCTTCTTTGGACCCTGCGTGTAAACTTGTGCTGCAGTATTTAAAACTGCAAGTGCTATTTTAACACACAGGTAAACCAACAGCGAGTCATGAAGAGTATGTTTATTCTTTCTATAGGGAAAACTAGGTTTCCATGCATCAACTCCATAGTATTCTGGTACTGCTGAGCAAATCACAACCTATCCTATGGGTAGTGCATAGTAAAGAGGGAGATGATTTTATTTTGGTCAGTTTTAAAGATAGCAAAGCACTTTTTTTTTCTGTCATTGTCATATCCTCTGGATAATTCTGTCTAAAAGTAAAACAGATCCATCTTTCTGTTATACTAAGACACCGGGCTTCTGATGTCACTGGTATTTTCTATCCTATGGAAGAAAAACAGATAAATTTATGTGCAATATGGAATAAGAGTTCTTTCACATAAGGGGAAAAAATACATTCAGAGTTCTCCATAATTTAGATGCAAACATATTTTAAATTTGTCTGAATCAACGTATGTCCAAAACATGAAAGCCTGTGACTTTTTGTACGCAGAATCAATTGCTAAATTTTTAAAGGAATTCAGTTATCTAAAACATAGGATTTACTATAAATTTGGCCAGATAATCTTAAATATCCCCAAATATTTAAGAATGATCTGTTCGTATTTCAGAATCAGTAATTTTGCTTCTTTCCATTAATTTTCTCTGCAGATTCTGCAGAAAGGAGAAAAAAAACTCCTAGTGTGCGTAAAGTTGAAAAGATTACAAGAATTAAGTATCTGAAAGCTTTATTTAGGATTAACATGCTTTTAAGATAAGCACATTTTCTCAGAAAACAGTACTTTTTCCACAGTGGATGCCTCTGAATGTACTTTTAGATGCCACAATTTTTAACCACCATTTAATGTGAGTGTTATTGTTTGGCAGAAGCAGTCTGGCCCTGCTACAATCTAAACAACATTCTGAGTGGAAAGCACATCAGTACCATAAGTCTCAAACTCCCCATTATTCTGGTTCTGGAAGTTATTCTTCAGCTATTTAATCCTGCAAAGCAGGTTTGGCATCAAGTGAATGAGGGAATTTCAGAGAAACACCTTGTCAGCAGTTGTTCTCCCGTTTGAATCTTCACCAATTAACGACTGGGGTTTGGCCTGGATCCTTCCTTGCATGCTGGCCTGCTTCCTCACGAGCCACTCCTCCTTCATGCTTGGGACACTGGCAGGCTGTGAGAGATGCTGTGCCCTGAATGGAGACAAATTCAGCAGGACTGCCTGGGCAAGCAACTGCCACACAGAACTGTTCTCTTCAGCACGTCAGGATGCTAGGGAAGCCAAGCAGCAAAGGGTCACTGAGATGAGCTGAGCGTGGCTACTTCTCAAGCCTCTCCCAGTGCTGTCCACCAGCCAAACAACCACAGAAACAAAAACTCCATCCTTGGTTAAGGAACACAGGTCTGCCCTGCCAGACCAGAGTGTGCCAGTGGCATGAAAGCTCTCACACTAGATCAATCCTGTATCTTCTCCCCTTCCCATATGTTCTCCATTATATTTTTATTTTTATATATTTATATTTATATTTATATATTTTATATTCATTATTTTATTATTATTATTATTATTTATTTTCGCCACTTGTGCAGTGGCAAAAAGTAAAAACTTCACAAGCACACAAAATAAAATTGCAACTATGGACTAGACATACAGCTATATACGTATCTTGCTCTGAAAGTAATGCCTCCTATTTATTTCCTCGGAAACCACAACAGATACAAAGAGCACAACCACCCCATTTGATATAGCAAATTCTCAGCTACAAAACACTGTTGTTCAGCACTGCCACCAACATTTTTGTCAGTGATGAACAAGAGCCTGCATGAGGTGACACACTGTTGCCACCACTACTCATATCCACTCTCTGCTCCCCGTAAACGTTCAGCAAGCATCGATGAACGTCAGTGGGTGCCATTTTTCCCACATGGAGAAATTTTACTTTGCTTCATACGCACTCCCACGTCAGATACCAATTTGCCGGACTGCCCCACGGCTGGCATCTGCCACACGGTATAACAGAATCACGGTGGGAAGGCTCAACCCTTGCAGTCATACCACCGACATCCGCCCCTGTTGTCACGGGCCAACACAACAGAGCATCACTTTCAGGGCAGCCCTCGTATAACCGCGCTCCCCACGCCCGCCCTCAGCAGGTGGCGCTGCCCGCCGCCCCGCCGCCCCGCGCTCCCCTCCCCCTCGCGCCAAGGTGAGGGCGGCAGGGCGGGGCCCCGTAGCCACGCCCCCTGCCGGCCGCGCGGTGCCGTGCGTGCTGCGCTCCTCCTTCCCTTGACGGGCGGTGGGTGGGAGCCGCGCCGAGTCGGGGCGCAGCGTGGCGGGAAGAGGCGTCCTGCCGGCACGGGAGAAGCTATGAGCCCCGAGGAGAAGCCGCCGCCCGGCCGCTCTCGCGACGAGTGCCCGCCTCAGCCTGCTGCCGGCCGGGGCCGAAGGCGAGGCGGCTTGCTGACGGAGATCCGCACGCCTATCCGCACCGAGCCCTTCCAGCAGCGCTACAGCCTCAGCCCCGGCAGGGAGCTCGGCAGGTGGGTGTGCGGCCGCCGCGCCGGGCACCGCGATGGCGAAGAAGCGGTTTTCCGTTCACGAAGACGAGGTGAAATGCGGCAGGGTGTGCTGCGGGATGAGCTCTCTTTCTTAGGCGCCGGCCGTGCGGCGGGGCTGACCGTGGCACACCGCCTGCTGCCCTACGGCGCTCGGCCCCGCCGCTCGGTGCGGTGCGCGGGAGGCTGAGCTCGGTTCGGATCGAAGCTCGGCGGCTCTCAGAAACTCTGCCGCTCTGCCCTGAAGTAAGGGCTTGCGCTGGGAGCTGGGCGGCCGTTGGCCCAACTGAAGGATTGGCGAGGGTTCCTTCTGGCGCACACCGGCACGAGTGGGGTGAGCGCTTCTGTACTGTGAGCAAGGATGCAGGCAGCAAACCCTGAGCAAGAGTTGTGGCGACGTTTGTGTGGGGTCACCGGTGGCCGGAGCTGTACTTAGAGGTGATCTTTGTGTAATGGCTGATCCTGCACCTGCACTTGTGTCATGATGAGTTATGTGTCTGTTCCAACGGTGGCACTGCCTTTCTGCAGTAGCAGTGTGTTTCAGTTCCAACTGCCTTCCCTCTCTTTACCTCCACAAAGGTTTTCATCTTCCCTTCCAGTACAGAAGTCCACACTTCTGACTGTGTGTGTTTGCTTTTCCTTCAATTTCAAATACCTTTTTCGCTAGGTTTGTCTAAGAACAAGTGAGTACTTCATACATGAGAGCACCCATTAAAGAGAAACTTTTGCTAATCCGTTGTGGCAAACTAAAAAGGCAGGTAGAAAGTCACTCTGACACTCGTAGCTGTCTCTTTGTATGGCGTTTTGTTGATAACGTACACTTAGCAGAAATTGTTTTGCTTTTATCTGCTTGCAGAGTGTGCAAACATTTACTTTTGAGTAGGTCTGTCTTTGCAAAGGGCTTGGGTAAATTAGCAACAAAATAGGACAGGGTTTTGCCTAAGACAAAAGGCAGTCTTTGCTCACAGAGTTCATTTAATTTGGCAGCTGAATTTGCTAAGGAAACAGCTATGGAAAAAAAAGTTCATGTGCTCTGTGTCCATCTCTTTTCCCATAACTAGGGAAGTGCTTAAAAGCTGAACTTGGGATGGGAATTCTGAAGAGAATGTGAACTGTATACGTTGGGTTTGAAGGAGAGAGCAGGCAGCAGATGCGGCACAAGCTGGGTGTATGAGCTCATCGGGACACTGCTCACTGGCCTCCAGCCCGGCTGTCAGTGTGGGTCTGCTGAAAGAGCCTTGTGCTCTGCTTTCCATTCCTGCGTGTGCAGGTGGTGGGCAGGGGCCGGGAGCACAGGCACACAGCTGGGGCCATGTGGTGATCAGAAAATGGGGAGGAGAGATGCAGGGCCTGGTGGCTGGCAGGGGTGGCTGCCCTGGACAAGCGCTGCTGGAAGAACCACAGGCTAGCAGGGGTGGGAACCTGGTTGTGATGTCACTGAAAAAACTTTGGTACAAGACTAAAGGAAAGCAGGCTTTGTTATTTCTGCTTGCAGGAAAAAATGGCTTTGGGGATGTAAAGCTTATGTACTCAAATAGGCCTGGCTTGCATGCTGAACAGGCCTTTGCAAGTATACCCAAATAGAACCTGCTTTTTCTAGCAGTAAACTCAGGAGAAATGCCAAAGGCATGGCTATTCTGGATGGGAATCTTAAGTTGCTGACATTTGGCCTAGTCTTCAGCCATATTAATTTTATTGTCCCCAAATCAGAATGTTCACAGATACATCTTCATTTGGCCTTGTATGGTGTTTAATGTTTCACTTCCTTTGTTTAAAGTTGTAAAGATGCCATTTCTGGTCAGCACGCTCTTAGACCATTTCAGCAGTACTCATTTGAGATGAGCTAATACAAAGTATTATTCTTTGTGCAGGATAATGCAACAGTTGCTTGACCTTTACCCTTATCTGTACACTGCATAATTTGACTGTAAAATCGGGAACCATGTTTTAATTATTTTTGTGGTGACAGCCTTGATGCATATTTGTGAGTATGCGCACAATATACCCTCTGGATGTCTGAGCTCCATATTCCAGAAACACAGCTTCAATCAAAATTTCTTGTCGCTGATTCACATTACCTAAAGCTTCTTTGAAGTGTCCAGTGTAATTGTATTCAGTTATTTTGCTCTTTTTCCTCAACAAAATACTCCCTAGATAATTGCACACAAAATACCACTAGGCTATTAATTCTTCAGCTTGTTGATGTGGCACTGCACTCTTTTAATATAAAACAAGCTAGGTTCATATTGGTAGCCATAATTTCTGTACTAAAAATAACACTCTTGGTTCTAGAGGTGAGTTGGAAAAAGGCCTGAACAGTTGGCACTGCTTTTTCTCTGGAACATAAGAGTATTCTTAAGTGGCTGCTCTAAACCAAGCAATCTTCTGGCCAGTGAAATATGTGCAGTGCATGCCTGTAAAAGTATATTGTGTTCAATTCTGTTGATTTTCCTCATTCTACTTTTTTTTTTTTTAAATAAACAAGCATGTTCTCCACCCAGACCACGAGTAACTATTTAAATCGTCTGAGGAAAACTGAACAAAATAATCATATATTCTTCATTTTTTTATTATGGTTTCGTGGAAAGGTTGCCTGGCTCTTGAATTGGTTTTCCAAACTTTCTGGCGTAAACTTGCTTCTCAGGTAACTTTCAGGAGTTCAGATCTTAGTCATATGTAATTCTTGTGCAGTTGGGTGTATCAGTAAGAATGCATAGGTATGCTGTCACATTTCTAAGCAGCTGTTGTCTTAGGTGAAACTGATGGGGAAGTGAGAAGGTGAAGGCAAGACTTGCAAGTATCTGATTCCACCATTTGAGAATAAAATTATGTGAGGAAATATTCACAAACATCAGAAATGGAACCTCCCCTCACCTGGCTCTTTGGAAATCAAAAATTGTATTAAAAAATCACCCCCAGGAAAGAATGTTTGGCATGAATTATATAATAAATTGCACATAGTGTTATGGATCTCAGAAAATTTTTCTAAGCTTTCTGAAAAATAAACATATTAAAAATAGTTGCTAATATTTGTAGTAGTGACAGTGTTTTTTAGCTCATCTCAAAACTATTACAGTAAGGTTAGTTCTCTGTTTCCCTGAGCCTATGACAACCAGAATTAATTGGTGTGACATAAATGCTCTTGTTTATCTGATTTGACATTTGATTTGTGATGCGAGGCTTTTCCTTTCAGCCATACTATGCGCCAGATAAAATAATGCTAATTCTGTTGGCAGTCTTGAAAGATGACATTAAGCTTCTTCATGATCAGATATGATATCTTAAATCATAATTCTTGACTGAGGCTCTTGTGAGGACTGAGAACAACTTGTTTCCTATTTAAGTCACCCTTAAAAGCATTTTTGTTTGGATAACTGATAGTCACTTTTTAACTTTGGAAAGGAACGTGAAATATTACCTCTCAAAACTGCTCTTCCTTCATTGCAACTCCTTCTTAACATAGCTAAACTGGTAATGCTGTCTTCACAATTTAATAGCAGATCTGTTTCTTGAAAGGAACTTTGATAAGCAACATCTTAAGAAACACAAAGATGCACCATCTGGGTGTACTCTATGGGAAAGCTTTTACATTCCTGTTTTTATTTCTGCTTACTACACAGTCTCTATCGAAAGGGAAACACAAATGTATCTTGTGGTTTAACTTCTTACTTTGATTTTTTTTTTTTTCCAGTGGACATTATCTTTGGTTCTGGAGTAGTCTCAGATGTGAATCTGGATAGGTGCATAGTGATTAGTTTTGTCAGTTAGAAGTATCATGTTTGTCAAGTCAGATTTTTCTGGGATTGTATTAAGAAAAGGCAAGTTTTACAGACAGTGGTTAGGTATTATAATAGCTTTATAGTATTATAGTAGTTATAGGTATTATGTCAAGGCATTTTTGATTTTATTTTATTTTTTTTTTAGCTTTGAACAACTTGTAATAAATACTTGTCAGCCAGCAGAACTCCTGTGCAGCGGCTTTTCAATTCCATCACCTAGCCAACTTCTGTCCAGTGCAGTCAACAGCATGAGTGTGGCCGCACGCCGGGGTCTCTTGCTGTTTCTTCCTCTTACCTGAATTTTGTTTTATTTCCAGAGTGACTACTGTGTGATAAATCAGCAACATTGGGCTTATTAGGCTAATTAACTTGCTTCCAGATAAGTTTTGTATGTAATTCAAAACAGTGCTCTACCAATTGGAAGATTTTAAACCTTTCTGAACTACTCCTACTAGATGCTTTGGTGGTGCTAGAATTAAAAGCTTTTGACTCTGCACTAGAGAGACGTTCTTTCAGAAGGAAAATGTACCTTTGCAGGCTAAAAAGGCAACACTCAGGAAGCTACAGGCTGGTGAGCCTCACATCTGAGTCTGGGAAGATCATGGAACAGATTGTCCTGGAAGCTATGTTAAGGCTTCAAGTTGAGGAGGTGATCTGGAACAGCCAGCAATGGCAGATCATGTTTGACCAATCTGGTAGCCTTCTGTAATGGTATGACTGTATTGGTGGACAGAGGAAGGGTAGTTGATGTCATCTGCCTGGACCTCTTCAAGGACTGTTATTTGGTCCCATGCCACATCCTTGTCTCTAGATTGGAGATATACAGATTTGAATGTAGACTATTCAGTGGATAAGGAATTGGTTGGGTAGTTGCAGCCATGGTGTTGCTGTCAATAGCTATGTGTCCGGGTAGAGGCTGGTGATGACTTCTGTTCCCTGGGGTCAGTCTTGAGACTGATGTTCTTCAACATCTTTATCGATGACCCGAATAGTGGGGTTAATCATAGAATCGAAGAGTCCTTTGAGTTGGAAGAGACCCTTAAAGATCCATCTAGTCCAATTCTCCTGCAATGAACAGGGACATCTATAGCACAGTATCTGCATATCTACCAGTTATTAAAATAGGACCCTTTAACAGCAAGTTCTGTTCTTTTATCTCTTTTTTTTTTTTTTTTTTTTTTTTTTTTAAATTACCTTTCTTTCTTCTTCTTTTGAAATGGCTGCTATTTTACTCCATGAGCACTATTTGGATTTGGTGCTGAAACACAGCTTCAGTAGCAATTTGAATGCTTTCGATAAATGTGTAACTTTACATTGTACACAAGTAATAAGGACTCGCATCTTCATTTGGAATAACTTAAAAGCCTTTTCCCTGGCTACATCAGGATGGTTGCTCTTGATTGTGGTTAGGATGGCAGTACTGGAGGGATGTTTGCTGTTATACATGACAATAATCACAGGCTTCCTAGAACTCTGCTTAAAAGAAACACCATCCTTGCAGCATTTTGAGGATCAGGAGTGCATGGTCACTGAAACATTCCAGAGTTCTCAATAAGCTGTACATGCTACAAACATTTGGTGTTTTTTGCTAGATCTGTAGCAGGCACATAGCTGTTAAGCTTTGGATTTTTCCCTTGGCATTCTGCAATAACGTCTGCATTCTTTAAACCATCTTATAGTGACCTTTTGACTACACCTTCCTAGTGCTATGAAATCCCATCGTATTTTCATGCATTTGCAAAGTTTTTTTTAAAGCATTTTCTTGCTGTTTGCCTGCCTTCGTGTATGATTGTGCTCTGATCTATTTTCTTATATCTATTGTTCTGCAGATAATGGGTGCTTATGCAAAATGTGATTCCTGAATGACTGTGACTGTATCAGTAGTTATAAATTAGATTGTTTTAGTGAGCCTGCCTAGCAGATACCCACTTTGTGGATGCTTATTACTTAATTCCAGCTGGACAGTTTTGAAACAAATTTCTATTATAAGCAGAGTGACCACAAATGCTTTCAGCAGTTACTTTTAATGGAAAGCAGTCTGTCACTAGGTTAGGAGCTGGGAGAGTGAAAAGTTTGACATGAGCTGAATTAGTTAATTCTGTATGTTTTAGCTTGTGACATAGGAAAGGCAAGACTCGAGTAATTTTATTCCAAACGAGAGGAGGATTCTAATTTTGTTAGTTTCAGCTACCCTACAATAAGTTAAATAAGGAAACAGAGTAAAGGCTCTCCAAGCTACTCCTGCAGCTTTATAAGAAAATGTTGACATAAAAGTAAAAATGATCATTTTGTCTAATGTTATATCTGTATGTTAAGAATTTTAAAAGATTGCTGTACTTAAAGGGATGAGGATTCATCATCGTGTTAGATAATGCACTAATTCATAGACATTTTCATTCTAAAAACCAGTACTATATGAATGGAATTGAGTGGACCAGGTGGCTTGGGAAGTTAAGAGCAGGCACTTCAGCCCAAAACACTGTGGGGGAAGACTTCTGAAAGTGCTGCAGCGTGCTTTCAGCTGGACCTGCTGGCTTAGTGTAACTCATCCACTGTGTTTTGTCAGAAGTGATACCCATTAACATGGCTGAAGCACTGTGCTCAGTTCTGCAGTGTGTGTTTGTATTCACACTGTCATTGCTGAAAAACTGTTAGAACGTTTTGTGTTGGCCAAGCTTCTCTACTTTCTGAAATGTTTCATGCTCCTTAAACAACGAGACGGTTGGAGTTTTTGAGAGCTCTTAAGCAATCAAAACTATGGTTGTTCTCGTTGCAGATACGTCATGGTGAGAGCATGAGGTGCCGTTTTTGAAAAATGCAGAGAAGAGTATGGATATTCCATAGCATAAATAGAGTGGCATCTTGAGCGCTTATTCAATGAAGCTGCTGTCTGCTGTTGCCTTGAATATAGTGGTGAAAATAGTAACAGGACAAATAGTTTGCTTAAGTATAGTCATGGAAAGCATAATTTTCTTGTTTGTATACCATTTGACTAGCTTTTTATGAAAGGCTCAAGGATATCTTAATCTTCCTAACTGGCACAGTTCATTTCTGCTGTATGTTTGAAGATTTGGAGTCACTTGAACTGATACGTTGCTGTTGTAGTTCTCTGTTTTAAAATCCTTATTTTTAATGGAGATGTAACCTTAACTCTTTAGAATAGAGGCTATCACTGAGCAAGGCATCTTTCTAATTTTAGAGCACGTGGTAAAGGTGTCCCTTAAGAGGGATTTAGTTCAGGTTTTCTGAAATATTAATTTACAAGGATTATACTAAAGTTGTCAATAAGGGACTTAGTTCTAACCTAAAATTCTTCTTTAATTTCAGAGGAAAATTTGCAGTGGTGAAGAAATGTATCCAAAAAGACACTGAAAGAGAGTTTGCAGCAAAATTCATGAGAAAAAGAAGAAAGGGCCAAGACTGTCGGATGGAAATAATCCATGAAATTGCAGTCCTTGAATTGGCACAATGCAACCTTTGGGTCATTAACTTGCATGAAGTTTATGAAACTGCAACGGAGATGATTTTAGTCCTGGAATAGTAAGTACCAGTAATAATTTCTGAATAACCTTCAGCAGTATTTGTTAAAATTGTAGTATAAAAAATCTTTTCCACTCGTATGGATAATGTGAAAAACAATTTTATTGCTTGCTTGTCACCTGCTTGAGCTCAAAAAATTGCCAAGAAAATCAGTATTGCAGGAAGTTATGTGCAGTCTTGTAACTACAACAGAATGTAAGAAATTTTCCAGTTGTATGGTATCTTTCAAAGCTGAAATATAAACTAAATACTTAATGAAGAAATTTTTAGTGAAATCTGAACTGTGTATGCTCCACACTAATAGAAGGTGCAGAGAGAAGCAGTGAGTACCTGTACAGACTCTGAAGTTTCTGTTACTGGCAGTGACAAATTGGAGTGAAGTCTGTTCATTTTGCCTGTGTTGAAAAAGGTATTAAAACTTAATATCATATATTTAAATGAAAGCATTGAAGCTTGCTGTAATCAAGAGTGGAGAACTTTGTAGTTAACAGCTCTTTTCTACCCTCAGTGGAAACCTGTGAATATCTTCATAATTAACCTAAATAGAATGTTAGCTTTGAAGATGTTTTGTTGGGGTTTGTTTTTGGTGTTGGGTTGCTTGGGTTTTTTGAGGATTGGGAGTTGGAATTATTTGTAGACAAAGCTGACCAGCATCAGAATTTTTTATTTTTCTCAGTGTAACACTTCTCAAAGTAAACATCTAAGTAAACAGAAGTTTACTTAGTATTAGCTGGGATAGGTTACTTCTAAGGAATTTAGCGTAGAAATTTTTCTTCTCTTGGCTGCTCTATCTGGTAAAACTATTAAATATTTTCTACTGCAAGATCTTTCAGGAAGTACATAAGCTTAGAACTGCAAGCACTCCCATACTCAGTGCTTGCAGACTGACCACCTGCTTTTTTTCTTAATGTGATACAGACAAGAACTTGTCTTCTACTTGATGGAAAAAGGCAAGAGAGCTGTATCAGCATTTATTTGAAGACCTTTTGAGCATGCACTCAAGATGTGTCCCAAATATAGCACTCTGGTGTCTTTTTGGAGAAAATAAGACTTGTGAAACTATTTGAACTCTGAATCTCTTGTATTCCGCATTACCTTGAATAGTGACATTTAACTTGTGACTATACACTTGAATGTTTTTCTTCCCTGCATTGAGTTTGTCCAGATGGGAGTTTCTGCAGCAGTGAATGCTCATCTGACACTCCAGAGGCTTAGTTTTTCTTCATGTAGATTCTAAGAGTTAGGCAAATGTTTTTTTGCTGTTGAACAGCTCAGTTAAGATCGTGTTCAGACTCTATGGGTTTAAAATGGCTGTGAGAGTAACAGTGGGGCTTCCTAGTTGAGAAGTGACTTGACCTACATGCTAAGTCAGTCTGGTTTGTACAGCTGTTCCCTTTTCTGTTATCAGAAATGAATGGTGAGAAATCTTGTGTGCTAATCTGATGTTTTTCAGAAGTAAAAAGAAACTTCATCTTTGAAGTTCAGTGAAATGGAATTAGATTGTGTGTTGTTTTTTTATAAAGGCAAGCTTCTTTCTTGAATATTTTTTTTTTCTATGTTGTGCAGTTATGCTGTTAGTGATTTATAAAACATTCAGTTTTTGTTAAATACAAAAGCAGAACAGGGCTTCTAGTGTCTGATTACCATTACTGGGGATGAAAAAATATATATTTTAAACACTGGTAGTACAGATTTAATGAGAATACAGTTTAAATTTCTGGTTCCCATAGAGATTCAACGCAAGCAGTAGAATTCAGAGCTTGAAACAAGCGATGGAAATTGTGATAATTGTTATGTATAATTGCTGGCTTTCCTTTAGAACTCAGTTCTCCTACAAAACGTTTTTAATACAAAGTATTAACTAGGTTGTTCATGAGTTAGCATCATGATTATTTTTATATGCATCAGTCATACCTTGTTAGAGATAAATAGCTGTGTTGGAGTTGTAAATTAAAAAAAAAAAAACACACTCTTTCACTGACTTCAGCAAATACATCTGGATGCTTCTTTAATGTCAGCATGTTCCAGAGGCGTGTTGCAACAACGCAGGTATGAACGCCAGTACATTTCTGACATTCTGTATGCAAAGGATTAAAGAACGTATCTGGACTGTAAGCTTCTCTAGGGCATTTTGGTTTCTATTAAGCTTCATGGTCTGTGTGGCAGATCCTTACCATGGAAAGGACAAAAATACTTAATCATTGCCCAATAACTTGATCTGCTAAGATTTAGAAGTTTCCGCTCTTGAGGTTGGATCTGTTGTAAGGGAGGTGAGCTGTTATTGTTTCACCTTTGCAGGGAGAAATCTTAATCACATGGAAGGTTGTCTTTAAAATACTATCAGTTTTGGCAGAAAGCATACTTAAAATTGCCCGCAAAGTGTTAATGTAAGTTCCAAGCAATGGAAAACAATGGGGCTTTAGCATTAGTTTTAACTGCAGGATGGCAGAACTCTGTATCCATGCAAACACTGACTTCTTGAGGTCACGTGCAAATGAACTGCAAAGAATTGAAGAGCTATTCTGAAGGGGTGATATGTAAAGCCTGTAATTACCCTATGGAACAGTGACATTTTTCTGTTTTAGTGAAAACAGAATTAATAAAAACCTGGGTGTTTAGTGAAAAACATAAGAGTCCAGAAAACCTGACACATTCAGATTTCAAAATTGCTTTTTTCCTTGCAACTTTTGGGCTCAGTAATTGTGTACAATCTAATGACTTTTGATTCTTTTGAAAGAAAAACAGTGCATCTGGTGCTTCAAAGCAGGCATTTTTATAAGTGTTTATCACTTATAAACTTACATGCTTATACATCTATGTTAGGAATAGACATTAGCTTGTTAGTGGGTCACATTTTAAACAAACGTGTGTAACTTCAAAATCTGGGACAGTATTGTTGGATGCACATATTAGGATGTGAATTGGATAGCTACCTGCTGGAATCTTGTGTATATATAGTAGACTTCCATCTTGCTTACTTCAAGCAAGAAGAAAGTTACCTTCATCATGTTGAGGAGATGGTTGGGTGTTTATTTGATACGCTGCATTAAGTACTTTTTGCACCTGTTGGGCCTGCGTTATGTTACTGCCTGTACTGTGGTGATAATGACTGTGCTGCTCCAATGTTTGCACCTTGTCTACCTATTAGTTAACAGAGGTTTAGTACTTAATGGCTATCTCAGATTAACAGTGGTGTTTTAGGGAGAAACTTTGTTGGTTACCTTGCACTCTGCATTTCATTCAGCTCTTAGGCTCCTTGATAGGAAAGACCACAGCGGAGGGGAAGTATGCATGTGTTTGGAAACTGAGAACATAAACTGCATGGACTGTTTTGTTTAATGCGTATGAATGCTTTTCTACTCATATGTCCTCATCAGATATTGATTTTCAGTCATCTCTGTCTTTGGGTACCAACACAGTGGTAAGTTAGGGTAGCCTTACGCTTCAAAAATTCTCAGTACATTTGCTCTCATACTTGCTATCTAATGGCACACCTCACCAAGGAACAGTACAATGTTAACGTGTTGTGAATGCACTTGAAAGAAGCAGGATGTAGAATTTTGCACGGTGCATGAAAACGTACAAAGGAAGAGGCTCAGTCTCCACTGAATTTAAAGTCAGTGTAGTTGTAACCATGATTAATGTTCTAGACTTCAACTGACTTAGCTTTTCAATTATTCTGATAAGAAGTAACAAAATGTTAGCATGGTTTCAGTGATTAGAAGCACTTGGATTTAGCTTGAGACTATATAGAAGTTAGTGGTACAACGGCAGTTCTGTCATAAATACATGAATTTCTAAGGAATGCTGGTCGCTGCAGCTTTAAGTTTGAAAATGAATCATATCTTATTTCTACACCTTGCTAAGGGAATGTGTACTAGAGAAATAATGTATTCTAAACAATTCTTGAGTTTGAAGAAGTGCCCCTAGATATTTCCTTATCCATCTTTTCCAGAGTAAGGTGGCTTGTTCACCTAAATAATTTATTGTCCTGAAGACAATTCTTTACTGCCTATTAAAATTTTCTGTTGAGAAGGGTCAGGGTACCCAGTAACTTGCAGAGCAGTTACTTTATAACTAGCACTATAAAAGCAAAAGCTTATTGGAAGATGATTTCTTGGAGGGAAAAAATGAGTACATGGTCAGCACCTGAGAACTCTTGCTCTGCATGAATGCTGAGATCATAGCAATGTCATGTTTGAAATACTTAGAGGTATTTTCATCTCTTCTCTAGATCAGGAATACTGAATAACTAAATTGAAAATACTGTTAAGCAGCATTACAAAGTTTGGCACAGATGTGTAGGAGAATCTCCTTGGAGTTCATTTTGACATTGTGCTTTCAAACCGCTGTCACTGAGTTGGCTCACAGTCAGCAGACTGTTTTGCTTAAAGGAGTCAGTTAAGCTGGCTTCACAGCAACAATACACAGAACAGCTCTGCAGTAAGGAAGTTTGCAAATTTCCCATGTTCTTCTAAAGAATCACTAATTGTATGTTCAAACGTGGCAATTTTGAGTTGAAGTGAATTGTCTGAAAGAAGTTTTTCTATCTACATCCTAAGTAGAAAAGTTGATTTTAAAAACAAACAAACAAAAAAACACTGTATGTTAAAACTTTTTTTTGCCATCTGAAACTTCTTTGTAAAGCAAAATACTTCTGTATGGTGGCTGGTAAAGCCGTGTTTCTTAAGTCATGAAGTGGATGTGTATGTCTAAAGGCTTTATTTGTCTGGCTCACTTCTGAAGACACCTAGGTTCATCACCTTTAAAAAAGGACTGCAGATTACTTTAAAACTGTTCAAAAATAAAAGTATTTTTTGTACCTGGTGTTTTCTACTCTCATATTATCTTGTCTTTTCATTTCAGTGATGGGATATTTTGTTTCAACTTCTTCTTGCCTTGATTTCTAAGAAAATTAATTCAAAGTTATTTAAGTGTAATATTAAAATTCTGGGTAGCTTGTGGTTTAGCTTGGTGTCTACTTATAGTGTTCTAATTTGTAAGCATGTGTGTATTAAGTAGGCATACAGCAAACGGCCTTATGAGGCCTACCTCATGCTGATTCTCAGCTGAGTTTATGAGAGCTTATTAAAGAAAAAAGAAGTGTGATCCCTGTTTGGCAGCTGCTCTGGGGAACGAGTCCTATGTCACATAAACAGAAATGGCAGAATTAATGCTTTTCTTGTTTCAAGCAGCAGAGAGGTTGCAGCAAAATCCCAGCCTTGCTGCTGTAAAACATATCAGTAATTTTGGTAGTAGGGTTTATCACTATACGTACATTAAAATGTAATGCTACGAGGAATTAAATCAGTCTTCCAGGTAACCTACTATCACATTCTTAAAATGGAATTTGTTTCTTTTATTGATTACAGAAGACATTTTTATATATTTATCTGCAAGTTCCAAGTGATGTTGCTTTTTTTTTTTAAAAAAAAAGTGATCTAAAATGTGAGAATAAATGATCTCACATCCATTTTAAAAAGGTAATTAGTGTCTTAGTCTTGTCCAAAGCTGGAATAGAGCTACCTTTTTCTTTGAATTAAATAAAAACATGCTGAAGAAATGTACTGCCCAGTGTCAGAAGTATAGTATTTTTCAAGAAGAACTGTATTAACACTCACTTCATGAAAACTTCTTTCGTTCTTTAGTTCCATCATCTTTGTTACAGGATTAAGAAAAATGTTAAATAGGTTTCTTCTTTGAAGAAAAAAAAATCTTGTTTTAGTAAAGCAAATCATACTGCTGGTCAGTTAGCCAATGTAATGAGCAGAGATACAAAGCTCTATATAAAAACTTGAGTTGAAACCATCTTCTACATTTATTATTTTCTTACAAGATAATCTCCAGGGAGAGTTTTAAATAATGTGGGACTATCTGGGAAGGTAAAATAAAAAGAAAGAAAGGCACAAGGGCCACATCAACCAAGTTAGTATTCATAAAATTAAAATTGAATATATTTAAGTGATTTATTTATTTATTTATTTCCTCAGAGTCCATAATCCAGATTCACCATTTTATAGAACTGCCTTGTTTGCTTATCAGGTCCTTGTTTGCAAATGCCTTTCTCTTCTGGGTGGCTTAGGTACTATAATTTATTATAAGAAAGCAAGCCATGGTAGTTGTTGTTATGTACCAGTAAAGATCAACGCTTTGCAAAGTCATTGTGAGGTAACTGAAGAGAGCTGTCCTCAGGGGGGTTTCACTGTCTGTCACTCAGCTGATTATGGAATTTCTCACAAAGGTTGACTTCATCTACACATTGATCAGTAGCAATTCAGCAATCCGTATGTGCAAGCAGCCTGTTCTCATGCTGTTTTGCCCATTCTTGTTCTAAGATGGAGCCTCTGTTATGATTATTTCAGTTGCTACAGAGATGATCTTTGGAGTACTGTTGGTTTGTTTCCATGTTGCTTTGGAGTACTTGAAAAACATTTACTCATCTGTAGTTATTTTCCTATTTTTCTTCTGTTATTTATTTAAGCACATATAAGCAAAAGATAAGGAATCAAGCTCTGAGAGCTGAAATTTTCAATAATATTTTGAGATGAAAGCTGTGTAGAAACTTAATGCATCCCAGTCCACCAGATTTTTCACAAACAACTCCATTATAGGCTTTATCTTTAGGCTTTTCTGAGTCTCTACAAAGTGTTTTGAGGAGAATTAGGAGCGGCACTATTTTGCGTTGGGTTTATGAAAGCTTACTTTGGCCAAATTTCCATATAGTTTAATAGCAATAGCAAAAGACACATCTTTTTTAAGCACTGCCCTTAAACAAATGTGGCATTCATCTCTTGAGCAGTCACTGATATTTCCAAAATAGCCTCAACAGTTTCTGTAGAATCTATTTTACTTAAGTCATGGAATATTAATCTTTGCTTCTTTTGAAAGCTGACATACTGAATGGAAGTCTTCCTAGGCCATTAGAGCTTGCAAAATGTTTAATAACTGAAAATATCACCATTGGATGATACCACCTGCTGATCTTTTCTGTGCTAGTGTAATAAAATGGGTGCTCTAGCTTAGTGTTTGAAATAATAACATTCATGCTGTTCTGTAGTGCTGCTGGAGGTGAAATCTTTGACCAGTGTGTTGCTGAAAGAGAGGAGGCCTTCAAAGAGAAAGATGTGAAACGACTTATGAAGCAGATCTTAGAAGGAGTTTCATTCTTGCACAGAAACAATGTTGTTCATCTTGACTTGAAGGTAAAATTGTTGCAGTACTTTTCATGCTTCTTAACTGCTGGCTTCCTTACTGGTCACATCATACTAAGGACACAATTTTATCATAAGAAATGGATCTCTTTGTCATAAGAAATCCAGAGTATTGCATATAGTAATAGTAGATGTAAGTTGTAACCCAGGGATCCAGAAAATTATTTTCCATTTTTAGTACGCTAAAACTAATTTTATACGGCTTTCATCCATATGTTCTTATGAAATAAAGCAATTTTATTCTGAGGTTAAACTACTTTTCTAAGCAAACCAGTATTAAAAGCATCTTGTGTTTAAAATTTTCTAATGCTCCTATGTGTCTAATTCCTCTATTATTTACTAAGTGGTAAGGCACTACATGTCTTCTGTTGCCAGAATCCTTGTTTATACTTCACTGCATTTTGGTACAAAGCTACCAGTAGATTCCTATATCAAGCTATACATACTTATATTTAACAGAAAATCATGAACCATTCATCAGTAAAGCAGAAAATGTGTAATATTTGTACACAAATATCTCATCTGTGTTGCCATTTATTTAAATCACCCTTGAGTCCTTTAAAACTTTGTGACTCATTGATTTATCAAACATATCAAATAATTGTACTAATATTTAATGAAAATTTCCTAGCAAGTGGTAAGTGTCCAAAAGGACTGAAGTTCTGGTATGTTTATAGAAGATACTGAGGGTCTCTGCTTTGTCTGTACATAGACTGTGCTGGCCAAAAGTATTTCCATTGAATTTCCTTGAAGCAACGTATGTGAAATTAGAACGTGTCTTTTGTGGACTGTATATATTTGTACACATTTGAAGTTAAAGCTGTGGTGTTCTTTAGCCCGAGCATCTGGGTGTCATAATAAGAAATTACTGTGTTTTTATGTTATTACGGTACTTAATTGTGAAAGTACACTGGAGAGTTAATTCCAGCTTGCAAACAGGTAGCTTTCTAAAGCTTAGAAGGAAGCTTGCTTAAAAAACTCCAACTGATAAACTGATGTTGTAAAATCGAACGTGTCCAGTTGTCAGAGGTTAAAAGACCCAGTATTGCTTTGCTAGCTTTAATAAAACATAATTTGGGTGCTGCTCTTTGTGATGTGCTTATTAACCCATTGGCTTTACCCTCTAGAAGAAGAATTTGTTAAAATGCCTGTTAAGATCAAACTGTAAGCTTGTTTTCTTAGTCTTGTATTATAAAGCTGATCAACTGGATCTGTGAGGCTGACAGCCTGCTGTTGCTTCTGTTTGCCTCTTTGCTAGCTGCAGAACTTTCATATGAGAAAAACTGTGTATTTTGATGTGGCTTAGCAGGGTTGATGCCCAATTATTTCTTTCTGAAAGTGTGTCTCTTGTGAAACATGGCTGAAACTTCATGTGTTTTTAATAGCAAAATACAATAACATATAATTCAGTTTTGTCTCAGAGAAGAGCAAATATAACGCTACTGAGTGTAAATTAAAAATCATTCAGCAACATTGTTTTGATTTTATTTAATTTGCAGGGTGTGCATAGAGCGTAGTTGGGAGTCTTTCATCTCCTCTTGATGGCACATAAAAGCTGCAGAGAAAGGGAAGCTTCTTTTTTCATCAGCTGTTTGACTTGATTGTGTTTGGTAAAACTTAGTTAGGAATGGAAAAGAATGTAAATTACAATTAAAAAAGTAGGTAAGTTGAGGAAGGACTGGCTACTGCTTGTCTGAGACGGATAAAGCTGTACATTGCCAATTAACTGCTTCAAGCAGTGCTGTCCTATAGTATATGTTACTCTGCTTATCCAACAGGCACCTTTTTACTTCTGTGTGGTTCCCAAGATGATGTGTGCTGTGAGGAATTTATAGAGTTGTCATTTGAAAATGCTTTGGGTGTCATTTTATACTAATGTTCAGAAAGTAGAATAATTGAATGATGGGGGTAGTGTCCTGTTGAGGACACTTCAACTGTATCATGTTTTTTCTAATCAGTATTCCAAGCAGATTAAGATTGAATGCTTAGCTATTTTTACACACAATGTAGCAGTGTAGTCAGGATATTCCAACCAGTCTACTTTTCCAGTTTGTTCTCATAATTCCTTGGGTACTTCCTGTTTTCAGGAAGCTTAAGTACAGTTTTCTCTGCACAGATGTGTAGAAACAAACAATAAAACTTCTGTCAACTATTAGCTGCCAAAATGTAATACAGTACTCAAGGGTTTCATGAAAAAATTTCCTCATTTAAGAATTATCTGCAAAAAAAATCATATCATTTGTTCTATGTAAAATTAGATGGTTAACTTCATTAATTTTACAGGTTATCTTAATTATGCATCCTTAGTCTTACTCTTTCGAAAGCCAACTAAATTTACAAGAAATAGTATGGCCAAACTCTGATAGAGACTTCTAGAATAATGGAAAATTTGCAGTATATGGATTTTGCTGTTGTATCATCAGTTTACAAGACTTCAAAACCTACTTGCAAGGTAGGTTTGAAGGGTGTGCATTTTACTAAGTGCACTTGTTATAAATGATCTGTGCAACTTACCTAAATAGCTAGAAGAGAACAGATGTTTGTATGTACTGTCTTATTTTGTCCTTTACGCTGAAGTTCAGAACATCAAGAGAGCTGTGCTCTCTTTCATGTGACAGCAGTTTAATCCCACTTACTGAGGGATGTAAGATTGGCCAACATTTACAATAACAAATTATGCTTTTCACTGGTGTTACTTGTACATGATGCTAGGGGCACAACCAATGTCTCAGATTCCTAAAGGCCAAGAATCTGATGCTGATAGTATGCCTAGAAAAATAAAACTCCATTTATTTTCTTTTTATCATCTTTCCTAAGGTACATGTTTCTAGTGGTACTAATGTGGCATTAGGGTAGACTTGTGTGGCCATATAACGTAAACTCTGTCTGCATTCTGATCTTGTAAAGTGGTCCATTTAGTCGTCTTTGTTCAGTATACATCATACAAGGATCTTAATTGGAAACTCTAAGCCTCTCTGCAACAGGGAGGAAGGCTTATAAATGTTGCTATCTGCCAGTTTACATTAGCCATGCCACATAATGTCATACATTAGCTGCTTGAGTGCAAGGCCCTTTGCAAAATGGCTAGTAGGAGAGACTCTAGCCTGGCTGGGTATCTCTGGTCTTTACAGGAGATCAATGTATTGTCAAGCCTAGATATATTAGAGCAGTGTAAAAAATAAATAAATAAAAAGGAGAAATCACTTTATAGATGTAAGAAAATGATCTTCCTTTTCTTTAAGTTTTAGAGTAATTGAGTGTTGATAGTAGTTCTAAAGCTACAGCATCTTCAGGATTTAAAGCTGGGTTTGGACTTTTGTTCATTTGAACCTTACAGTAGTTCCTTAAAAGAAGAAACCTGGTGTTATTTCAGTACAAATAGATTTAGGGTTATGAGTTGGTTTGTACTGCAGACAATTTCTTGCCATTGAAAATTTTTCCTCATTTAAATATAGAGAGCAAATGCTTTTCTCATGCGTTCTCTTTGCCTCTTCAGATCGTAACTAAATTTACCACTGAGAAGAACATCTGAGAGGCTAATTAGGGAGGCCTTTTAATTTTTTTTTTCAGATGTTTGCTTTTCTAATACCATATTCACACTTTCTATTCTGTATTTGTAATATACAGCTTCAAAATCCTTTGTAGGGCCACCAGTTTGTAAGCAAAAACAAGCTATTGTTAATACATACACTTAGAAATAGAAAACAGACATCTTGGAGTTCCTTTTAAATAACGTGGCTTAACTTTACAGGAATGAAAGAGCTTGAATTTTTTCAGGTCTTTTAGCGAGAGGAGCTGGGCCAAGATTTTAATGTGTTCTTGTACAGTTTTATTTCTGTTATCAAGAGGAAGGATGTTAATGTGAAATCGCACTGTCACAATCAATGTGGGAATGAAAAAATGTGAATAGGAGAGAACTATAGATATTGGTGTTAATCCAGTTGGACTGTATCCCTCAGTGGTTGCTTCTGTGTTCATACTCATTTGTCCTCCTCCTTTTTCAATCCAAATTCTCAGAAAATAAAGCCTTCATGGAAGTCAGGCTTACCAGAAGCATGAACATAGTGTGAACTGTCAGTGTTACTGCTTGCACAAGTTAATGACAGAGCACAGTGTAATTATTGGCCCAGTGTGGGGAGACAGGGACTTGGTCTGGCAATGATATGCTTCAAAAAACTAAGTTGCAAAAAACAAAGACCCACAAAGTTTTAAGATTTTAAAAAAATATTCTTTAGACTCAGCAGCTGCCATTCAAAATAGAAGGCAAGGGACTTCTGAATGACTGCAGAGTTTGTGCTGGGGAATGACAGCCAAGATCTAGTGACATCAGAGCAAACAAGCTTATCCAAAGTGATGCTCTTAAAAACCTGTTTTTCAGGCTGCTGGTTTTTTTTTTTTTTTTTTTTTTTTACTGTTCTTCAGTTCGTATTCTGTAATACAGTTGTTTGAACAAGATTGAGGTCAGTTGCATCAGTGTTTCTTTAAACAGGTATAGTCAAAAAAGTTTCATAACAGTTTAGAAAACATGAACTTGAGTGTTTTTGGACACTCTTAAACAGGAGATATCTCATGCCAGGAAGAAACAAGGAGGGAACATTGGAAGGAACAAGGAGGGAAGAAAGGTGGTATGAAAGACTGAAGGTACAAATGTGGAGATCTTCATATCCTTTTGCTAAATGGTAGCTACTGGTGTCTTTTGTATGAGTTCTAAGCTAAGAAAGGTAGATGCTTAATTAACTTATTAAGTGAACTTATGAATATAACTTAGGAAAATCCTGCCACTGCTTTGAGCCAGTTTGTTTCTTCAAGTTCACCTTTGATTTAAAAATGAAAAAATAAAAGCCCTGGGTACTGTATATGTTACGGAACATATCGTTGTTATTCTGAAAGAACTATGCGATTTTATGGTGTCATAGACATTAGATTTTAGTGATCTCAAACATCTACTTGCTTTGCCTTTCAGCCACAAAATATTCTACTAACCAGTAAGTCTCCACTGGGAGACATAAAGATAGTGGATTTTGGCCTTTCCAGGATAGTGAAGAGCAGTGAGGAATTAAGAGAAATTATGGGAACTCCAGAATATGTAGGTAAGTTGTTCCTACAACGGTGGTGTAGCCTTGAGGAGGAGGGTACTATCAGCTATGGAGGATTGTCTCAAAACTTGATGAATGCCACACTGTCTGTGTAGTTACTCTGTCAGAAGATCAAGTCATTAAACGTGATACTACTGTAGAAGTTGGAATCACCAGACTAGGAATTGACAATTTTGTGCTTGTGCTGAAGATGAGTACGCACTTCTGACAAATCTGAGCAGTGATGACAAGCATTACTTGGCTGAGAGGTTGAAAAATACATACTCTTACTGAATATGGTATTTTAGCCTGGTGGGCTTTGTATCCATTTCATTAAAAAGTAAAATTGTTCCAGGCTTTGAAAATGTGCTTGAAAATAACCTTAAGTTATATAGCATATTCTTTATGGGTATGGGTTTTCATGCTGCAATATAGGATGTTGGATATTGGAATTATTTTTCAATAGGAGATTTGTATAGAGCATTCTTAATTGGTAAAGAGATGATCATTGATTCTGAAGATGACAGTAAAAAGCAGTTTTCTTTTTATCTGAAACTAACCAATGATAGTAATAATTTAAATAACTTGAATATAAATATCTGTTTATAAGCCACTTGAAGCATGACAGTCTTTTAATAAAACTTTTCCTCGTGCCTGCTTTTGCATTCTTACATACAGTATCATGTCTGTGTATGAAAAAAATATAACTTTTTTTTTCCCCCGAATAGCTCCTGAAATTCTGAGTTATGACCCAATCAGTACAGCAACTGATATGTGGTAAGTTGAACAAACTAATGACCATCATAAATAACATCATTTCCAACTAATGTTGGAAAGCTTAAAAAGAAAACAACCAATACAAAAAAAAAAACAAACACCTGTGTTTGTGTTTTTTGCTTTCAATTCAGGAGCATTGGAGTACTGGCATATATTATGCTAACAGGGATATCACCCTTCTTAGGAGATGATAAACAAGAAACATTCTTGAATATATCTCAAATGAATGTAAGTTACTCTGGAGAAGACTTTGATCTCATATCAGAGTCTGCTGTGGATTTCATGAAAACTTTGCTGGTGAAGAAACCTGAGTAAGTATAATACACAGCCATTCAGCTGTCCTATGTATAGACATTTTAAAGTGAATACTTGAATTTTTGTTTTTCAAGTATAAGGCAACTTTAGGCACTATTACTTTTCATACACATTAAAAGAGTTCTCCATATTCCTCCTGACATGCATGTTCTGAATTTATCCAACTATAGCAATTAGAACTGAAAATTTCAGAAGATTGTAAATGCAGTGTAGTGTGGTACAGTATTCTGGCTTTCAATATGTATACCCTGCTGCTCTCTCTTATATGAGCTGTGCTTTGAGCCTTCTGTTTCTGATGTATTAGTAGAGTACCTTACTCTTACATAGTTCATTAGTATGCTTTTCTTAGGGGAGGCAAATTGGAAGTTCCAGCTCTCAAAACAGAACTTGTACTTTCTGTGCAAGTTCCAGAATTCTTCTTGTGGTGTCTCAACCACAAAAATTGTCTACTGTATCTTGGTGGCTTAATTGGTTGGGTTTTGTTGGTGTTTTTTGTGGGGGTTTTTTTTGTGTGTGGAAATAATTGAATGTAAGTATGGCATGATTTTCATAAATTTAAGGAAAAAGACAGTTGCTCAGAAATATGATAAACTGTAGTGTTTAAGATTCTATGAACTCCTTTATTTCAAATATTAACAGTTCATCTTCTTGGACTGTTGGTCTTCTAGGGTAAAAAGGAGCTATCAGAACATTTTTAGTAATTCTATCAGTCTAGTACATTCATTTCCTTAGAAGAAAACTGTATGAGTATCTTACTGAATTTTAAGTTCACTGAGACATTTCTTTGTTCCTTTGCAGGGAACGGGCAACTGCTGAAGAATGTCTCCAGCACCCCTGGTTAGAACAAAGTGATGAACCTACTTGCAGGGCCTGGAGTAAGAGTGCAGGAGGGGAGAGCGGTGATGTCATCCAGAAAAATGCAGATTCTGCCTCTGAAAAACCTGTAGATGTTGAGAAAGCTGAAGAAGAAGAATCAATGATGACAGAAGAGCTCATTGTAGTAGCTTCATATACACTGGGACAATGTAGGCAGTCAGAAAAAGAAAAAGCAACTGAGCAGAAAGCCATTTCCAAACGATTTAAGTTTGAGGAACCATTGCTGCAAGAAATACCAGGAGAATTCATTTATTGAACTATGTGTTACTTCATAGCAGTGTTTTCTACTAAACAAAAGTATCCTAGCCAAGGGAATCTCTGATATGCAATGAATGTTCTAGATAAAAGAAAATGTTGATAGGTGGCATCTAAGGAGAATGTGCCAAGCTTTTAATTTCATGGAAGAAATAAACAAGATTTCAAGTGGCTGGCAGGAATTTAACAAAGATGAAAGCTTATTTTTTGTTTGTAATTTTTATTTCTGTTTTTTTTTTTTCTTTTTGCCTTTGGATAGCAGACAAATTCTGTTAATTGCTCTGATGCTCTGGAGAAGTTGGCATAAGAAGAGTTTCAGTGGCAGATGTCAAGAGAAGTATATTTTAAGATACATTTTGTCATGCAATGCAAATATATAATGCTGGGTTTTCCTCAAATATTTCTTAGCACTCCTGACTTCAGTGGATGTATCTACTGATCTAAAAAATGCATGAGATAATTTGACTGGTTTGACAGATTTCAAAACTACAGTATGTATGTATTTACATTTTCATCCTATCCAAAGACTTGGATTTAATGTATAGTTAAATAGTGAGCTAGGTTTCTCTAGCAAACAATGCACATGTCCCACAGGTAAAGACCATTTTATCAGTAGACAATTCCAGAAACAGCAGTGTCTTTGGGAGCGCAGTAAAGTTCTGCTCTGGAGAGTGCTAAGTCTCCCAAGGCAGTCTCTTGATAACCCACAGACTGTTGCTCCCTCTGTCTCCTATTTTGGGCCAGGTGCACCAACAGAACCCAGCTCAATGTGTCTGCACATTGCTGATGAGTGGGCAACAAAGAAAGTGACCGGGTCATTTGCAGCAGTTATTGAAGTTCTCACTCCTTGCTTCAACTTTTTAGTTCAGGCAGTTTGTCCATCTAATGGTAAGCCAGCCCTTAATTCTGCCCCCACTTCCCTGCCCTCCCAAACCCAACTGAAGTTTTACTGGGAGCTGGAGGTCATTGCTGCCTTCTTTTTGTTCTGTTCTAACTGCTGCTTTAGAAAGAAAGAAGCATCCATAGGCTAAATTGCATAACCTTTTTCAGTGTAGCTGTCAGATGAGGAAGAAAATGCTATAACCTCTGAAACAATGAAGCACAACTCATACCTCGTGCTTCCTAATCACTCCCCCTTAGACATTTGGAAAAACCATATGTATGTGATGGGGCGGAGTTGGGTTAGGAGCAGTATGGATGGGTCATAGTTCTCAGTGGACACAGTCCCTCACAGAATAAAACCAGGACTAACCAGGCATCAGAATTGACTGGTTTTTGCAATGTATGGATATCTGAGGTTCTTGGACTGAGTCTTGGTTTTCTTAGAAATCTTTCATATTGATGCTGTTCCAAAGTTTAATTTTTATGTAATTGAAATTTAGTGATTATTATATTGCATACTGTTAACCATTCAACTATTTATTTGGTTTCCATGTGCCATTCCTTTATAATAAACTCTGACAAAAGTTTTCTTGCTGTAAAACAATGAATAGACACTCTTAAGATAGCGTTTGGTTTTTTTTTTTTGTTTTGTTTTTTTCTTCCTTGCTGCTGCAAACTTTCTCATTTCAAATGCACTGGGAATGTCCTAACTATAGGGAGCAGGAGATTCAGCACTCTGTTGTTACCGTTTGTTAGTTACACAAAATTAAAGCAGCTTATTAGTAACATAGACAGTGGTGCTGTGATGTGGTTGCTTGTAAGGGTGGAGGGGAGAAAGCACTAGGGAAGAAGAAATCTGAATGAAAAGCACTGTAACACTGAATGGGGCAATGTGAATTTTTCCATAATGTTTCACTGGCGGGGGTCTGATTGCAACCACTTGAAGGCACATCAAAAAAATAGCACCTAAGCTAAACTGTCCTGTCAGGCCTCATCTTCTGTGGAGCTGCACATTGAGTGTTCGTGTAGGAGAAGCACCATCTTGCTCCTTTAAGACCTTTATGTAGGGAAGCATCCAGAAGTCCTTGAGTGATTGAGGGCATGTAATGCAGAGATGCCTTTCATACTCCGTAGAAATTAGACATTTGCTTTTTTTTTTTTTTTTTGTTCTCCTTGTATTGAAAAGCTATCATGCAAGGTTTTCTTTGATTTCTGGGGCTGGCAATTAGTAGAAGTTGAATACAAATCTTTAGGCTAATGGAGCACTTATGTTATCTGGGCAAATCTAGTAGAGAATGGCAGCTGCACTGCTGCATGTTGCTGACCCTCCCTGCAATGCTGATCTTTAAGACAGAAAGTGCTCTTCGTTTCTTTTACAGTTCAGTCATTTGCCCAAGGCTACTTGTCTGGGGGACATTAACTTCTGCAATCCACCTGTGAATCTTCCAGTGTTCTTCAGTGCAACTTTGATTTTCTTCACATTTGTATTTTCTTGCTCTTATAAAGTTTGAGTAAGGCACTGAGAGTGAAGCATGGTCACGTTCCAGCCTTAGAAAACTAACTTATGTTGCCATATCTGCATACCTAAATGTGTAATAATTCATGATTGCTCACAGCAAATTGTTTAAGGGCCCTATAAGCAATTTCAATTTCTCTTGTGACCACAGATCCTGTCTCAGCCGGGAATAGGGATTTGTACTAAGAACTGATGTTGAGCAGCATTTATTTGCCCTGTATTTGCTGTTATTGACAAAGAAGCTTAATATATATAAATGAAATACGTGCTTCTACAAGGCCAGCTTCTTTTAAATTGGCTCCTTTGAGACCTCCAGTGGGCTGCATTTCTTGTTTATCATTTTGTGCTTTTGTACAGTGTTTTTAGCATCATTAAGAATTTCTATGAAGTTGGGGAAGTTTAATAGTATAAGCAAAGCATTTGAGATAGCCCTACAGTAGGAAAATTTCTCTAATATATAATGTAAGACTGCCAGCCGCTCCCACACAGTTGAAGTGATTTCCATTCTTCTCTAAGCTGGATAAGGCTGTGAGCGAGGCACACCTTCCCTACAGTGTAGGGAGTACAAGTGGGTTACTGAGGCTAATTTCTTTAAGAAACTTACTGATGAGGCAACATGTTCAGACAGAGCAAATCAAATAAATGCTTGTTCGGAAGAGCAGACAGTCTGCAGATCCTGGAACTGGATGGCTGCATGTGCATGTGGTTCCTCAGGAAAAAAGCTGCTTATGCTGTGAAGTACTGGTGGGAGAGATGGAGAAAGGAGTCAGCTCCTTGGCCCTTGTTCTTTGTTCCAGTCTGCTCTCCAGATCTCCAGACATTGTTCCTGGGCAGCAGTGTGGGAGTTGCCTTAGCAATGCTGGGAGCACGACTGCTGTGTGCTTGGATGCAGGAAGGTGGAAGAAGTGGAAGAGAAGTACAGGTGCTCCTGTATATGACTGGAGAACTGTCCTTTCTATCGTTAAGATGTGAGAGGTGTGAGCTGTCTACGTGCTGCAGGAGTGGGGCTGAAGTGTGCAGGTCTGTCCCCTTTGCAGCTGTTGGAAGAAAACGGCATGTTGGGTTGAAAGCAGAGCTTTTTGTCTTTACTCATTGCTTTGTTCACCACTGAGAAAGAGACTATAATTTATTGTCATAAATCTTCTGTAAAACTTTTTTTGTTATTGTTGTCCGGAGTAGAATTTTTTGCCATTTGTTTCATTTCTTTCACTCTTCAATTGGGGGATCCAATGCACCAAACACAAATTCCAACCTGTGATCTACCAGGTAAATCTTGACAGCTGTCAGCAAATGCCCTTTCTCCACTCCACTGGTGATGCTGGCAGGAGACAGGGAGAAAGATGAGCCTCACACTACTGGGTTCCACGGCAAGTCAGCATTTACTGATTTCCAATGGACTTGCAGAAGGTATGCAAGCTTCTTCTGCAGAACTGAATATTACTGGAATCAATGTTAAAGCTCAAGTATAGTATTGCATTACAAGCTACTACAACTTAAACTCTTCTCTGCTTGGTGCTTGCGCTTGGCTTTAGTTAAGAAGCAAAAGTACATTACATTGCTGGAACTGGATTATAGTATGTCATATGGAGACTCCTGTTCAAATAAATGCCCTAGTTGTTCTCTGAGAATTTCTGTAAAATTATTTTTCTTGACACCCACATAGGTGATATTTTAGTTTTCTGTATTAAGTATTTGTTCAATTTATATTTGGTCCATACAGTAATCCAGTGATTTCCACTCTAAAGCAATACATTTGCATTGTGGACATCTTCATGATGCCTCATTTATAGATGTTGAATTAATCTGTCATTGGGATTAATAAATAGCTACAACACCCATGTAAACCACCTTGATTTATATTTTTTTTCTTGGTATATACTAAACCTAGAAATGCATTGCCATTAAATTCAGAACTGTTACATCAGATCTCTGATCTTCAGGTGGCTGCAGATGCAAGGCTGGAAAGAAGGTAGTTAAATGGCAATTAAAGGTGTGAAATTTGGGGTAGTTTCATGTCTCGAACATGGTGGAACAGGTGTCGATCAGCATTAATCCAGTTTTAATAAATCATGCAGAAATGTGTACTATGGAGCCAGACTCTAACATGCCCTTCAAAGTGGGGGTCCAGAACTAGGTTACTTGGCTGTCTTGCTCCCTGTGGGGAAAGTCAGAACACCTTCTAGATGTTGGGTGAAAAAATTATTTCCTCTTCTTCCGCTGTGTTCAGGTTGGATTTTAGGAAGAAATTTTTCTCTAAAAGTGTGGTTGGGTATTGGAACAGGTTGTCCAGGGAAGTGGTAGTCCCTGGAGGTGCTTAAGGAAAGGGTAGATGCAGTACTTCAGGACATGGTTTAGTGGGCAGTATTGTTGGTACGTGGGCAGTTGGACTAGGTGATCTTAGAGGTCCTTTCCAACCCTTACGGTTCTGTGATATGTAATTTCATTCATCATACAAGACAACCAGCAACTATATTGCTCTGTAGAATTGAAATCATTTGTTTTCATAAAAATATAACCTGAAAGTTCTATAAAATGGGGGGGAGAGGAGGGAAGCTAAGTCCAAAAGGGTGTGATTAAAATCTCTCTTAGTAATGAATAGGTTAGGATTTTTCAAAGTGAAATGAAATGCAGTATTAGGCCCAAAGCAGCTACTGCAAAATTAGGGGGAGAACAAACTAAATTACTTCAAGGGATATATTTTTATTCCTGTAAACACAGAGAACGTAACTGCATTGATTCTTTGCAGAAAACATGTAGGAAAATGTTTTTTTGCTTTGTCAAGTGGATAAGATGCAGGCAAATGGTGGGAAAGACCTGTTTACATCCTTGTTTCTGCAAGGAACAAAAATCAAAATGACTCATATTCCCTGTGCAATGCAACATACCTGCCCAAGCTAGAATGAAATGGTAGGCCATGAGCTGGCCGAAGTGGAGAAGCGTGCCTGAAAAAGAATGTGTTGGCCTGCTTTCTCTCCATGAGACAGACTACTGTTTCTAAAATGTGTGGGTTTATACAGCCCCTTTGTACTCATCAAATCCAACTCAGCTAGGTGCAAGTGTTGTAACTCTGCTAAACAGCGCTTGTTTCTTGTTCTTCAGTTGTAAATACATCCTTGCCCTAAGCAGCTTGACTTCTTGGTTTCCTTCACAGTGATGACTGTCTGCCAGAAGCTATTAAAATCAAATAAGAGAGTAAGAAATGAACAAAATCCAACAAAGGCCATAAGGAAGATGGGCATTTTAGCAAGCAAACAAATAGAAAAGGAACTATGGAAATTTTCAAGCCAATTCAAGCCAAAGAAATTATTTAACATACTTAAAATGATTAAGATAATTAAAGGATTGCAGCAGCTGTCAATGAGACCAAGAGCTGCTATTGTCACCCTGGAGAAGAGATGGCTAGGGGGGGATCTTACCATGTACGTAAATGCCTGTAAGTAAGGTGGAGCTGGATGTGGTGCTTAATGACAGGACAAGAGGCAATGGGCACAGGCAGAAGTGCAGGCAATTCTATTTAAATAGAGGCAAAGTCCTTTTTACTGTGAGAATGGCTGAGCTTTGAAACAAGTTTTCCAGAGGCTGTGGATTTTCCTCTGGAGATCTTCAAAACCCAGCTGGAGCCTATTCTCAGGGAATCTGTTCCAGCTGCTGAGCGTGAGGCAATTGAACAAAGAGATCTCTTGAGGCTTCTTACCTTAACAGCTCTGTGATTGGAAAAGAATGGTTTTCTACATGAAATTTAACTACTTTTTTTTAGGCTTTCTATCAGAAGATGAATGTTTTCTGCATTAAAAATGAAGCAATTGTCTACACTGGTGTTCAGTGACATGCAACATAATGTGACTATAATGTTTAGAGCTCCAGAAAAAAAGAAAGCAATCTAATTTGCTCCAGTGTTCTTTAGGAAAAGATGATAAGGGAGAGAGATGTCTATGAGCACTCATGAAGTTCACAGAACCAAGGTTGGAAAAGATCTCTAATATCATCCTGTCCTACCATACATCTATCATCACTACTTCCCGCTAACCCATGTATGTTATTTGGGCTTTTAGCAGCTGCTGGTGGTTTTGAGACCTTGGCTGTCCTTTTCATGGCTACTGCAGCTCTTGGATGCTCCCACTGCACCTGTATCCTCTGTGAGGAGCAGCCGTGGGCTGTAGGGTGCTTAATGGAAGCCACATGCCTCAGAGCCCAGCATGCTGACTTAATGCTTTTTTTTCCTTTCAATATGTGCATCCTAAAATAGCTCAAACACAGAGGAAGTAGCTTCTGAGGCTCTTCAAGGTCAAGATGTTAGAAATTGTATGTTTGCTGACTATATGCCATATAACAAAAGCAGAGATTTGAATGTGACTTTCCTCTTGTCCCACTCCCCTGACTTGCTGGCTTCCAGCTCTGCTCGTTGCTTTCTTCCGTATCTAGGTTAAAGATTTGAATTAGAGAAGAAAAATGGTGAAATATGATGATACTGCCTATTCTCACAGCTTTGATGAACTAATGGACTTGTTAGGATGCCTAGGAGCCTAGAGTTAAAAGGGTGCCCCGCTGGCTCTCTGGAGGAGAAGTGGCAGACACAATCTGTTCAGAAACTCTGCTTCCCCGAAGTAAGGCAATAAAATTTCCAGTTTTGCCAGTAAGGTTTGTGTTGGAACATTTAGCTCCTGCCAGGGGTTAGGGCTGGGCCAAGCAATGGTGCAATGGCACAGCCATGTGAGGCTAGAGGGGGGATGCTGCAAGTGCCAGTGGGGCAGTCAAGGCAGAGAGGTGTGATCCCACTGGCCAAGGTGACTGTTGCCAAGTTCCTTGGGCATTTGCACACCTTGCAGAACTGCAAGCTCCAGCTCGCTCAGTGCATAACAGCAATACGCAGTGATGGCAGCAATATACAGTGATGGCAGCATGCAGCAGATACTCAGAGCACAGAAATAGGGGGCTGCTCTCCACAGCCACATTTCCTTTGAGGATATGTAAAGGGTGAAAGCCGCACCCAGGGAAATGATAATTGATGGACATAAAGTGCTCGACTTGGCTTCTCCTTGTCAGCTATTTGATCCCTACCAGCCCAGCAGTTACTTGAAAGCTGGAGCTGCCACAAGGCACTAGGTGGCCAGAGATCTTCTGTCCCTGCATGGGACCACCTTGCTGTGTGGGCTGCAGCAGTGCAAAGTTGATGTTTTCAAATGCACATTTTGTATTGTTGAAATTGCACAGCAGTGACTTCAGTCCCAAAGCTGGGACACACCTTATCATCCTTTGTTTTTCCTAACCCTACTGGTGTATTCGAGAATTTACCCAGGTTCAACATGCAAGACAGTATTCATCCTGGGCAGTCAACTGTAAGGCCCAAACTAAAGCTCATTGTTTTTCCTCCAAAAACAGTTTATCTCAGAGGTGCTTTTGCTGATCTTCTTTCATCCACTCAAGGCAAATTGAGACAAAATTAAAATCTCCTGTTGTATTCTGTACTATGGCAGTAATTTACTTGTTCCACACCTCCTGAGTGTTTTCTTCCCTAAGCAGAACTAAGAGATTGAATGTGCTTACTCCGAGATAACCCCAGTTGTCTCTGACACTGCTGATATGAGTGATTATTCATAGCAATCTTCAGCATGAGCAGGTGCATGCAGTGAGCCTCCTCCTGTAAGTTATGACCAGTGGCCTTCGCTATCTTGTGAGCTTTTTGATGACAGTGGTGAGGGTGCAAATCTCCCTGCTGCAGGTCATATTCCATAGTGCAGGGGGATGCTGCCTGACTTGCATCTTGGCTACTCTAGGCCTTCTTGAGAAGTGAGGGGAAAACAAACAGAGAAGAAATCACTTTGAGATGACTTAGTCCTTGATCCGTATGAAAGAGCAACCCAAACATCCACATTCGGGTCTGAGAGTGTAAGAAAAGCCCCATTTCCTGCCATTTTGTTTATTTCAAACTCATATTCACACTACCAGCACTTGCAGGACACAACACATGACCTATGGAACAACAACTCTTGTTGCAGTATCTTTATGTTAGGCATTTGCTGAACACACAAGTAAACCAACAAATGAAAGAAATGACAATGGTGACAGTGGTGACGGAGCTCAGTGGTAGAAACAAAACCATCTTCAAAGCACCCACTTAAGTGAAATTGTCCTCACTGACAACTGAGTACAGCCCTGCACACAGCATGAGGCAATCAATTAATGGCTCCCTTGGTTCGATGGCAGGTGGGGGGACGCAGCTGCCTTGGACTTTCAGCCTCCATGCATGCTGTCACTTTCCACAGGGCAGCGGTAGACCAGAATATTCTGACCATCCCTCAGCTTCAAGGTGACATCCTGCAGGCACCAACTGACACAAACCAAGACAACTTTTAACTTCCTTCAATCACTTTCAGTCTAGTGGTAACATGGGTGCAAAAACAGAAGGCATGGAGACACAAACCACTCTAGGCCTTCGTTATTCTTAAAAAAAAAAAAAGAAAAAGAAAAAAAAAATTATCACAGTTACTTTAAAACTCAATTTTCAAGAGCCAGTTTCTAAAAGATGTATTTCCCAATATCATAGCACAGCACAGCAGATCTGGGATACACGCTCCTATTTGTTGCAACCTGAATAAAAGCCCAGCAGCTATTTTCAGCTGGGTAG